GCCGCCACTAGTCCCGTCCATTGCAATACTTGCTTTTTGCAGGGGCAAGAGAACTAAAAGGGTGTTTGAAAAACCCAAAACTATTATTTCAGAAGTACTTTTTTGTAAAATGAGGTAATCTCTTCCACATATTTACTTCGTAATCTGTAAAAGCACTTCTGAAATCATGATTTGTTTTCTATCCAAACACCCCCTAAATATGGCCATGGGATCAGTTTTTTAATGATATATGCACACGCACGTATTGTTTCATTATTGTATATTTAATTAATATTTTGCATCTCAAGCAACTCAGGGATTTCCCATGTGTTAGGGAGAACAACGCGGGGTTTAGATTATTACTCGATTGGTCTAAGCTATCTATATTAAATTTGATTTTATTAAATTAATTCTCCGTTAAAAAAGAAAGAAAGAAAGAGGGTATCATTTCCTATTTCTTCTGCTTTAATTCGTGTTTGATCTTATCCTGCACGTCTGTCCTCCCTCAAAATTAGATTCCCGATTCCACTCCAGTCATATTTAGGTTAGGGCATGTATCCCAAAATCATGGCGTATTTTTATTTTCTTGCTTTTTTGGTGATTGTGTGTGTGTGTCTATAAATATATATATATTTATTTTCGAATCTACGCGATTCTCCTACATATCAGCCGAGTATTGTTGCTTCGGCTCACCTCGCCAACTTCTTACAACTGCGCTCCGTCAGATCCCCCCACCCCCCCCACCCCAGTCAATCATCACCTAATAAGTCAAAGTAGCCAAATATATTTTTTTTTCTGGCAAAAAAAAAAACCCAAATATTTAATTTTTTTTATATTACAAAATATAGCCGGAAATCTGAAGGACCCAGTTGCTAGGAATGAGGAGCAACAATTTGGAAGCAAATAGGATGAATCGTTTATTCCTATAATGGTCACTGCCATCAGCTCTCGATGATGTCCCCTTTCTTGATCCAATATTTGACCCTTTCCTCCAATCAGTGATGTTGGATCGCGCCGGCCGATCCACACTCAAATCTCCACTCTGCTGCATGTGCCCCTGGGCTCACGTCAACGCTGCACTCACCCATTTGCTCCCTTAATGCTCCGACCCAGTCAACTCCCACTTATTTATATCCATTCACAACACAAACCAGCATCCCATTGCTGTCTTTTGCAGCATAGGATAATGGGAAAAAAATTTGTGCTGTCTCCTTCTTGCTTAATTATTGACATTTACCTGTTCCAACATGAGCCTCTGATCTCTATAAAACCCCTTCTGGTTCCTTCTCATTCACACACAGAAACTATAGTTCACGCCTTCACTGTCTGCAACTCTGTATCAGTAAATGGCAACCTCCTTCTCCTCTGCTTCTTCCTTCTTCCTCGTCTTCTCTGCCTTCCTACTCTATTCCTGCTTTGCTTCCTTGGCAGCCGAGGGTTATCCTCCCTGTCCCATTTCATCTCTCGTGAGCAAAAAGCTCTTTAAAACCATCTTCCTCCACAAAGATGACTCTGCATGCCCTGCCAAAGACTTTTACACCTACGAGTCTTTCATTCTTGCCGCCAAATGCTTCCCTGAATTTGGCACCACCGGCAATATAGCCACGCGAAAGCGTGAGATCGCTGCATTTCTTGGTCAAATCTCCCACGAGACCACTGGTGGGTGGGCCACCGCCCCTGATGGACCCTATGCCTGGGGCTTGTGCTTCAAGGAAGAAATTAAACCTCAAAGTAATTACTGTGATTCCACCAACGCTCAATGGCCTTGTTACCCTGGCAAAAGTTACTATGGCAGAGGACCCATTCAACTCTCTTGGTATGCGCCCCCGCGCGCGCGCGCATTATTGCCCGTTCGTTCGCTTGTTCGTGCCTTTTTTTCCCCCCACTTTCTGGCTTTCATGTAGGTATACTGATTTTAGCTTTTGATTTGCAGGAATTTTAACTACGGGCCAGCTGGGAAGGCTTTGGGATTTGATGGGCTGAGGAATCCCGAAATCGTAGCCAACAATTCTGTGATAGCGTTTAAAAACGGCTCTGTGGTTTTGGATGACGGAACGAAAGCCGGTACCTTCTCCTCACAACGTGATGGTGGGCAAATATGTGCCGGCACAAGCTGACATAGCAGCTAATCGTACGGCTGGCTACGGGTTGGTGACCAACGTAATCAACGGTGGATTGGAGTGTGGAATCCCTAACGACGCGAGAGTGAATGATCGGATCGGGTTCTTCCAAAGATATGCCAAATTGTATAACGTGGACACGGGACCTAATTTGGACTGCGCTCATCAGAAATCATTTTAAGTTCTAACTAATCCTTCTGTTCCGGCTTCGGCTTGCCTTTCTTTTTGTCCTTGGTGTAACTCCTAAAATAAATAATATATTTCAACTCGAAGCGTATTCCCTAGAGACCATGGTTCACGTGAAATTCTGTGCTTATAATTTGACAACGACTTGTCTAGTTTTACAATGTTCTGCGTCCTCATCAGCTTTGGTCACGACGACAGGGTGGCGAACGAAAGCGATATCAAAAGACATGGACGATGTCCGTTATATTTGAATCTTTCCAATCACGTACTCTATAGTCTATACTCATAAAACAAAACATGGCAGCATCAACATTTATTGAGTCATAGAGAGTGCCGGCTGCCCACTCATTTTCCTATAAGTCTCTGAATAATAATACTTCCCGTGCTAAATATAAAAGTTAATTTACTACAAATTAGTTTTTATATTTAGGGTTGCAGGTAGTAACGACTTAGGGTGTGTTTGGATTAGCGGTGGAGAAGTAACTTTTTTTTCAATCTGACTTTTACAGAAGTCAGATTGAGTAAAAGTCAGATAGGATAATGTGATTTATGTTTGGATTGGGTTTTAGAAAAAAGCCAGTTTGAGAAGCTGAAACTTGTTTGGATGATAAATGTAAAAATAAGTTTAGATGTAAAATGACTGAAAAGGACATAAATTTTATTAAATGACATATATATATTATGTACATAATGCGAAAATTTTAAGAGAAATATTAAAATTAACAAATTATAAAAATAAAAATAGCTCTAAAGTACTTAATTAGATATGTTTAATGGATAAAAAATGTATATAAATTTTAAATAATAAAAATAAATACAATGATGCAGATATATTTGAATAATCCCTTGATATTAGAGATATTTGGACTAACTTATTTGAATATAAGATTTTAGATAATGAAATAACAAACAAAAAGATACCTTAACAGAAAATAAAGAAGGTTCTGGCTTTTTGTTTTTTTTAACCCCAAAATCTCTAATCAATTCTCCTCACTCCACCGCCTGCCTTTTCCGCCCCTCCCCAACCTTGCCTCTATCAATTCGTCCTTGATGGCAGCAACAATAATCATTCACAGCCTCTCCCCACCTCAGCATCTCAAAATCCCTCTCAAACCTCAGCGTCTCAAAATCCTTTGGAGATGAATAATCATTCACAGCCTCTCCCCACCTCAGCGTCTTATAATTTCACAGACCCACCATTGTATCTCTAAGATTCTTTTGCTTCTTCTCTGGCGAAGAAAAACAGAGCATCTCATAATCATTCGCAGAAAGAGGTTTGTTAATTTTCATCCTGTCCTTGGGTAGAAGGGCAACTTGGGTAAGTAACAAATTTAAGGGGCTCATGATGTTGCCGCACCGTGATGCACCAGAAAAGCTACTTTTTGTGGCTTCTGCTCCACCGTGCGATAGAAGAGAAAAGGACTTTTCAGACAATCGTGGATCCAAACAAGAAAAATAGTCAGAAGTTGTTTTTTGCAGTGTAGAAGTTACTTTTGGGGTCACCAACGTGATCCCAAACACACCCTTAGTGGCAGCATGTATCGTCTTTATTTTAAGGTTGATTTCACGCTGTGATTTTTTTTTATTTTTTATTTCTTAATTTCGTCTTATTAATGGCATGTATGAGGAAATCTATAATCCAGAGCTCGGGGAGGCCCTGCCTTTGGTAAGCCAAAAAAGCCGAACTTACACTGTGACGTTTTTACGCCCGTGTTGTCACCAGAAAAAAAAAAAACAAGGTGTCTTCGTCATGATTATCGGAGCCATTCGACTTTATGGACTATTGTATTTTCAAGTGAAATAAGAAAAAGGATTAAAGTCGCTGTTAATTTGTCCAGAAACTTTGTCGGCGGGGAGCAGGAAAACGACAACTTCTGTTTCCTCTGAATCACCTTTCATTTTTGTCCCCTCATATTCTGCTTGCCAAAAGTGCAATTACATTACGGAGTATTTCTCAGGGGATGAATTCCAATCTTCCAATGTAATTTTTTATTATCCGACAGAAGTATCCTCTTAAATTATTTATGTGGGTCTGATCTGTTTAGTGCCTTTTCTCATCGAATCTTTTTTATTCTTGTCATTCAATTCGTTTCTCTTTTTTGAAATTTTTTGGGCCCCAGCCGAAGGCTTGAGAGAGTTCCTATGCCAGCTAATGCGCTTTTGGGCTACTGAAAATGCTGGTTGGATCGAGTTTTAAAGCGAACTTAAATTCGTCGCCCAAAAAAATCGAGACTTTAGGCCTGTTCACGACCGATATGCCAAGTCCGACAACTATTTCGACGGGGAAAACATGGTTAAAAGGACTAAATGATTCATATATTTGAGAAAAATGGCCAAATGCAATTTTTGGCCAAAAAAAAAGCCTGCTATTTCTCATCACAATTAATCTATAGTTTTTTTTGAGTCTACAACTTTTCTTTCATGTTTCTGTAAGTTATGTCGTATTTTTGAAATATTTGAAACTTTTGGGTCTTTCCACCAATTTTAATTTCTGACTAACGTCTCTTCTTGCCCCACCATTTTATAGCTCGTCTTTCATTATTATGGCGAATTGGATTTCAGCATTTGCTTCGCTGTTCTTTCCCTTTTCAGACCCTCTTTCTCCGAACAAAAAAGCCGAGGAATCGAGTGGAGACAAGTGGGTAAAACAGTGAATGAGAGAAGACAGTTTGTTTAACTTCAAATTCCTGGAAGAAAAGCAAGGGCAGTTTTAGCTGAGAATGTACAAGAACTACTCTTTCCCACTTTCTTTTACTAAAGAAAAAGGACAAAGTTTTGAGGCTGTGCATATACGTCTATAGCTTTCAGCACGCTTTGCCTACCACTACCCTAATCCTGATCACATCTCATCACAGATCGCTACCACTAGAGCTATAGGACAAAATTGGAAACCACCAAATCCACAGGCTGCACTGTCATATCTGAAAATTAACACCCGAATGCGTCTACCCTCGTAATCTTCAATCTCTTCACTGTTGAGAGGAACATTCTGCAACCAAACAAGACGTCATAAGTTAATGCCCAAATATGGAATACTACGTGTTTATCACAATGTCCAAGAGATTCAGGAATCACTCACTCCCACGGAACATCACCGACCATGACCAAATCTCCTTCTTCGTCTTCGTATGTTAGCACATGGCACCTCTCTGGTTGCACCCCATCCATCCCTGTCCCCCCTGTTCAGGCCACACCATGTTGCATTGTTATCAGTCAGAGAGAGAAATCAACGTGTTATCAGGTACAGAATCAGAAAAGCACGGTGAGCGAGAGGTTTGGGACTTTACAGAGAATGGTAGTGTCAAACATGTTTTCCAGAGTCCTCACTAACCCATGGTAGCCGTCGTGAGCTACCAGATTGAGTTTTCTGCCTATTGGAATGCCTTCCATGTACACCTTTACAAACAAGCTGCCATGATCACCACAATCATTTACTTCTGCCGCATGATGAGCACGCTGGTTTGGGATCCAATCTGTTGCTTGCCCCCTAATATGAGAAATAATCGAGAAGGATCAGAATCTGGTAAAACCCGGTGGTGCATGAACTATCTAAGGATGGCGTGGATTCCGTAAAATTCATACCTTGAAACAGAAGAGCCGACATGTTGAGTTGCTGAAATGCCGAGGCCAAGCCTGAGATCTGTAGGAAGGTCAGAGTGGTGGAGGCGGGTGAGGGATGAAGCAGTTGAGATAAGGGGGTGGTTGTTGCTGCTGATAGAGGAAGAGGAAGAGCTAGAGGCTTTGCCCATCTGTGGAATAATAATGTGACTCCAAGAAGCCGCCACCTTAAGCCTTTAAATAAACAGAGTCAGCCTCGAAGAGAGACAAAAGAGCCGGGGGGGGGGGGGGAGAGAGAGAGAGAGAGAGAGAGAGAGAGAGATCTGTGAAAAAGACTTCCTCAACAGCCGCGTTCCCCGCCTCCCTCTTTATCTTCCTTCCATGTCATTGGTAGCCCTAAAATGTTGCCATGGCAGCCGACAACTACACGTGTCATTAAAAAAACAGCATGCTGTAATTCCGTGACAAATCTGATTTTGGGTACGAGCTGTGGAAATTAAAAGGGCTCGTTAGTTCCTGAAAGCTTGAGAAAAATGGTAGTTACATTAAAGTTGACCCCGGGGGTTAGAGACAAGTGAGAGACAAAGCGTGTAAGGGGTAATGCTGAGCGAGTGGGATAGGGAATGAATGTGGACCGTGGACAAAGAATGGGGGGAAACTCAGGTGGACAAAAGAACATTGATATCTGAAACCTTGTACGCAGATGTAATCTATGAATCAATGTTCAATGGATATAATCATCGTGTTGCGCATGAGGGGCCTTGGGTGCAGATACTTGTGTTATATTTTAAAAGAAAAGGTATTATTGGTACTGGTGACGCTACGCATACTCCTCCTCTATGCCAACAAACATCATTGATGTACTTCTTGAAATAATCCCTCATCTCCGAACACTTACAAAACCATCAACCACATCAAAAACATACTCATGAAGGGGAGTTGCATCGATTCATTACAACCCGAGCGAACCATATTCGCGACTTGACAGGTGTCCTCCTGCCTCCACAATCAGCCAGACAGCTCACTGGCATCATTTTCTTTGAAGTTGGGGCATAAAGTGGGTAATTTTCAGTGGAGGAATAATCAAAAGCCATTTATTTGCAATGGATGAGCAGAACAAATAAAAAGGCGCAATATTTGATCGTTGATAAACGTGATCAGTATGAATCTGGAAATGGCTTTGTTTTTTTTTGTTTTTTGTTTAATAGTAAAAGGTGATACCCGAGCTCCTATCTTGGGGACAGGCAATCCCCTCTATTAACGATACAAAGAAAAGGCGCAAAGTGGTTTATATTATATTGGTCGTTCCTTCTCCGTTCAAGATCTCGCGCCCCACGTGTATAAATTCACGTGCCGGAGGGAGGGGATTTGGTGAGCCCTGGTTCACAGGCTGAAATTAATTCCTGTGTTGATTCACAGGAAGGTATTTGCTTGGAGCTAAAGGGATGGGAAACGGTGGGAGAGGCGGGGTTGGGAATATGATTTTCAAAAGAGGGAGAAAAAGAAAAAGGCAAAATGTCCCCCACCACCCCAACCATAAGGTTGCTTCGATTAGCCATCAATTTGTCATTTGGTCGCCAGCACAGTATTTTGTGTTGAAACTTAAGGAAAGCAAAGGGGAAACCCACAAGCGCTTTTTCGCCAATAGGCCCAGTAGGAGTGTCTCGCTATTTAAAGACCAAATCTTCTCATTTCTTTGTCATTCCCTGTTTTTACCAGCTGGTAGTTTCACTGCCTCCGTGCCCCGTCATCATTGCCTGCGCCTTTGCAATTTTGAATTCCATCCCTTAGTCAAACTTTCTAGATACGCACTTTTGAATTCTCCCACGTAACATTCCTTGAACTTTCCTGTTAAGATTTCCCCCCCAGTGTCACATGAAATCCTCCGTTTTGCCCTCCCAGTTTTGACTTCTCGACCTTCCCATCCTAACAAGCTTACTGCCTTAATCCCCATGCCTCCACATATTTCAGAGGCTTATCCTCTGAGACCAGACTTTTATCTCGGTTCATATTCGAGCCTTGCATTATAGCTTCATTCATGGGACACCGCCTAGTCCAGGTACTAAAGCAGCGAGCAAAGCACGTGAAAATTAATAATCAAGAATTAATGTCATTGTAATTAAAGTCATTCCATTCATGCGATTACGTTATTCCATAATAAGTTGAGATCCACAAATCCTATTAAGGGCGAACGGTCGAGTGCAATACGGACAACGGTCATGCCCTAGAAACTATTTCTAATAATGGCGCGACACTTTAATTCTCTCCAACTGTCAAATTCTGCTGTGTGTGTTTATTTGTTAAATACGAAACACCCGTATGAGAATAGAATGACAGCGATGACCTTGTCTATTACAATATTACGAGAATAATATAAATGGGATCCGCACCCAGGAGCCACCAAAATTCAAATCTTACGTGACAAGTCAGCGACACTTTATCATCACTGTGCAATGATATACCGGTCCTACAAAATTCCTACAACCCACCAAAATTTGCCCCTATTTGTACACTTTCTGCGACAGAAAATCATTTACTTCGGCCGCCACCTCGTAAGCTCCCTCAACACATCGTCCCAAGGCAACACCAGACACATAGTTGCCCCCAAGAAACAGCCCTTCATGTCCGGTATTTTTCAGAGCAGCATTAGCAGCATCTAAAAGATCAAAATGGCCAACTAAGAATTGTGGAATAGCTTGAGGCCACAGTCTCACGCCCAATACATGCGGGTCCTTTGCATTTGGGTTTATAAGGATTTTTCTCAAATCTCGATCAACTGCTTCGACCAGGGCATCGTCCGTCTGGGAAAAAAGAAAATGCTTTATGAACAAATAAGAGGGAAAAGTAGCAAATCTGGCAATCACAAAATCATTTATAGTTGTCAACATATTATTCAAATCACAGAGATTATGCCTGCACCTAGGGCCACCAATGGTTTTAACTTTCAACATCAACATTTAAAACGACATAGGGAATCACCAAATTTACCAAAACAACAGTTCATATAATTGCATCTATCTCAACAAATATTCGGGTTTCATTCAAGAGTTATCAAACCTTTGATAAGATTCCAGGATTTGTTGCCCCTCCAATGTAATTCAAAAGTAGAATCCTTCCAGGAGGAGCTCGGTTAGGAAACAGTGATGAGCTGTATATAGTTCCTGAAAAATCAAGAAATGGTTAGCTTCCACATTGTCAAACTTGACTAGATGCTATAACACAACCATCAAAATAAAGCTCCCAAATCAAACTTGGATAGTAATCGATTTAGATAAACAAGTTTCGGTCATAAACCTTGGCTTTTACCATATCCTATTACTTGCTTACCTAATGTCTCCACTCCTTGACTGCGTGGATGCAACTGCCCGAACCCCTTTAGTTCACCATCTATTAAGCATTCCGTTCGAATAGCTTCTTTTGGATAGGATATAGATACTGCAGCAACTGGAGGATAATAAAACTTTGAAAGTGCATCTGCCGCAGTAGTCTGCATGTGAGGGTAAATACTTGTTAGAAGACAGGTGGGTGAAAAATTAGTGATATGCACAAATATGTATAAAAATGTGTATTATAAAACTTTGGTACTCATATGCTACTTTCTTTGTGCCTCCCCGTGTTATGAAAGAAAAAGAAGAAGAATATTATATACACACACATATCTATAGAGAGAGAGAGAGAGATAGAAACAACTTTATCAAGTAACTAATCATCTTTCCATCCAATCCAACACCCATTTATAGATGGGCTCGTTGGTTATGCCCTAACTCAGCTGAGTAGTCATTACTAACCAACATAACCACATAACTTCGCATATTATTTTCCTATCACACTGAAGGAAAGACGTATTGCCACTTCGCATGCATTTGTGTTAAGCTTATACATCTCTATTTTGAATCTAAAATATATTCATCGGACAAGTTCGAAAAAGATAGACTTTTGTAATCATCACGCCACCCCCCCCCCCCCAAAAAAAATCCATATTAGTAAAATTATAAATGAAAATACCAGTTTTCTCCTATACAACATGAAATCAAAAAAGATTGGCTGGCCTTGAAAGATTGTATTTCCAGACAAGATAGATATAGAAGCCAAAAAACATGCAATATTGTGCACTTATGCACCCAAACCCATCCACACATCAATACATTCCCAATTTCAATGAATCATACAGTTTCATTTCACAGATTCCACTGACAAAATAGTTCATATTTTATAATACTTGACATAAACCTCATTTTTAAGAAAGAAACATACAGATAAAGGACGTAGCAGTGTACTAGCAACATGAGAAGGAATGGTCAGGACAACAGTTTTGCTTTGCACAGAAACCACTCCTTCTGGTGTTTCATATGTCAAACTGTATTCTCCGCTGTCAAGTTTACTAATGGTTGAAAGCTTCCAAGATAACTTCACTCTGTCACCCAACCTGCCAAAGAGGGGGGGGGGAATCACTACAATCGTCAATGCTAAGTGAAGTGGCAATTTAGCCAAACATTAATTAAGTTGACATCGAGTACCTTGTAGAAATTGCTTTTGGCAACATGCTAAGTCCCTTTCGAAAAGACCCAACAGTTTGACCCTTTGGTTTTGGAAGACGCCTATGAATTAACATAAATCAGGAAAGGAGCCATAATGTAAAAGAAAATTTGACAAGCTCTAGAGTAATCATATCATTACGGGTCACGAGGTGATTTAGGAGATTTATTCCTCTCCTGTAGTGTTTTGAAAGTACCACCAATTATGCTACCCCCATTTTGCTCCAGCCTCCAAACTTTTCCAAATGCTGCTTTCATACTTAATTTTGAAGGATCGCCCGCATAGACACCTGAATAAGGTGAAATTCAGGTAAGCCGCCAGATTTACGAATAAAGAACCAAAGCAAACATACATTGAAAAGTTGAATTCCATATCAGGTGAGAAAAGTTAGGTGAAGTAAACTTGTCAATAATAAGAACAAAAGAAGGTACAGTATGTAATCAAGTCTCAATATTGTAGAATTTTAGCATAGACATGCTTGTAAAAACTGATATTTCGGCTGAAAATGCATCTCACAATGACTTTTCTTGTATTGTAACTCCTTTTCATTCCATTGAGGGGAAGAATAGTTTGACATTTACTATAAATTCAGTGTTCGATATCTACTAATCTGCTTGGGCTCTATCAGAATCTTAATTTTTCGGCTCTCACCTGAACAAAAAGGCTCTATCAAACGTTCAAAAACCTCATTACCAAGGTTACGGCGCACAAATTCTTCAACTGATTCCTCATGATCCTGTCACCTTCGTCAGTATTATGATATATATGAGAAACCCAATTTAAAACCCATGTCTTTAATCCTTCTGGACATGCATTTGACATGATATGATTAAACAAAGAGAGTTCAAGAGGACAAACTGGTGGAGGTGGCCGAAGGCCTAGTGCCCCAAAGCCTGCTCTCAGTTTGCCGCCAATGGTCATCAAGTCAAAGAAAGGCAAATCAGTTGGCTTTGATGGTACTGGCCTCAATTTTCCATTCCATAATACAAATCGAGGCGCATTAGGATCACCGAGAACAAGGTCATCCTTCAACCCGCTGTCCACCTGCCGAAAGCAACAAGATAGAATGGACAATAGAACCAGCAATACAGAATTACGACACCAAATCATAACGATAGCTCATAATTGTCAATCTACTATATAACAATACCACAATCATATAAAAGGAATCCCTCCAGAAGCGACATTCCATTGTACATTTACCACTTTATTATTAAAAAGCTACTCACAGAATGCTAGTCGGAATCGATGATAATGAGCTTGTGTCAATACTAAAATTGAGTTACCCCACAACTATCCAGCTCACTAACGAAACCAAGTCTAAGAAAATAAAATGACCGAACGGGGAAGAAAACCTTGAAATAAAGGTTAAAAGGTACGAACCACCATGGTGAGCATAGGATCAGAGGGCTGAAAACTGTTAGGGCCTTCCTCCCAAAGATAGCCATCCCTCTCAATAGTCGTAATGTTACCGCCAACCCGGTCTCTGGCCTCGGTGACAATCACATTGGCAGCGGCATTGGCATGCTTTGTGGAAAGGGCCTGGGCAATACAGATGCCACTGATGCCACCGCCAACGATCACGCAATCCACGGACGCAGAGTCATTACCGCCGGAATTGAGTTGGCCCCTAGTTTTTGCTGGAGATACTGCGGACTCCTCTGCAATTGAGCACCGCACATTAGGGCGAATCCAAGAGATTCTCCGATTGGAACGAGAACGCGAGGGAAAAGGGGTGATTGGGCAGATGAAAGAGGTTCGAGAGCTAATGAACGACGGGGTTGAACAAAGAAGGGCTTGGGTTGGTGACAATGAAAAGAGGTCGGTTAGGGTAGCCATGGCGATGGCGGGCAAACAGCGGAGAGAGATTGACGACCCACTTCGTTATCTTCAAACAGAAATGTCCAATAAGCAATCCTCGTTTGCAGCAGCAATCTATCGATCAACATATCAGGATAAAAATACGACTATATCAATTAAACAATTTTGTCAGCGTACACTTTTAATTTTCTGATTTATAAACTATATAATTGATGGATTGATGATGTGATAAAGCTGGCAAAAAATAAATATGGATGTGATAAAATTGATAATAAATTCGCCATTCACAATTCACAGCTCAATAGGCGAGAGAGAAACAGCTCATTCGCATGTCTCGACTCTTGATGTCTGACTGACCCCGAAGGCCAGCGAAGCAGTATATTTTTTATAGGAAAAACTCGAAGAGCAGCTTAACCTCTGTTTTTTATTTGAAAAAAAGCATGATCTGACTTAAAAGCATATCAATAATTATTTTTTAACTAAATTTTTTAGAACCTAGAATTTAATTTAAGATTAATTTATTTTTTCAAAGACCTTTCCCTTCAGAAATGATGTTTAAGTGCATCTAAAGGTTTGTTTATTAAAACAAAAATTATAATTACATTACATGTAAGGGCATTGTAGTCCGCGCAGTGGAAAGTCATGCGGAACGCCCGTACAATTTTCCCGCTTTTTTTCCCTCTACATATCAGTTGCATTGCAGCAAACATTTGGCACTCACTCAATTGTAAGCTTCCGTTAGTTCTTTCCATCTTCCACTGCCTTTGGCTATTGCGCAGTTCACTGAATCCAAATTTTGAATTCGAAAGTGGAGATTTCCAGCGATCAGGGCGAAGTAACACTGTGAGTATGTTTTCTTTGTCTAATCGGTTTATTATTCTCCATTTCACCTGGCAATTTCTTTTAGTATGATTTGAAATCAAATTTAGATCGTAGTCGCAGCATCATTTCATTATGTTTAACTGAAATGCACGTCGTTATAAACTTCCCGTCGTCGTTTCTGAATTTTTGAATCTCTCTTTCCTGTGGATTTGATTTCAAGGGGCTTGATAATTTGTTACACATGAAGGTAACCTGAAAGCTTGTTTTTATTTTTGTGCGCATGAATTTCTATTATTCGTTTTCTCGGGCATAAATGGGTGGGTGTTTATATACCTAGACTCTCATTCACAGCATGTTTGGTTGCTGAGGAAGGTAAGGATGAGAAGAAACTTCCGATCCCGGGCGTATTGGACTGTTGCTCATCTGAAAATTCGGCTTCATTAGTCCGCTGGATTAATCGCATACGATCCGCTGGTTTCCATGGAGGCCTTGCTGCTCTGGGTTATGAATTTTGAATTTACTTTTCTTCTTTCTCAACAACCAAACTGAGCTCATGCAGTTTTTACTTTTACTATCCTAACTCCGTACTAAAATCGAATGTTTCAGGTCTGTTAATGGTGCTCGTGTTTGTACCCCATCATAGTCGAAACTGCGACGATGGATGTCGAAGCACATCGGAATTTGCATGACGTAAGAACTGTAATTCTTCCTCTGGAGATTTTTTTTTCCCTTTTTGTTGCGGAATAAGGATAAGAATCTGGCCATTATAATTATGTCGAGTTTCGTAAAATATCATTCTTGAAGATTATCAGTGATCAGGTTTATTGATCGCTGTGATCACAGTTGCTCTTTTTAAATCCTATTTGGCATTCTGAGTCAATGGCTGCTTAAGCATTTACAATAGTTTGAAGTAAAAAGATCGGAATGGGATTTTATTAATGTTCTTTAGTCTTACATACAATAATTAATTTCTTGTTTTAACTTCTCAAGAGAAAAAATTGAATGCATTCATGAATTTAAATTGCATATTCAGGGGGAAGCCGGGGATTGCCGGAGTTTTGGTAGTAACATATATCCATATAGCCAATCAAGGAAAGTCTCCATAGGAGTAATGGTAAACTCGGGGGCTACAGCAAGACATGAAGCCATGACAGGAAATGAGGTTAACATGACCAATATGGAGAAGGTAATCTCTAACGTAGGAAATTTCGCTGGTGAAAAAGGCAAGGCTGAAGGAGCGAGGGCCTGCCCTAGCATGAAGCCAATTGGTCCAGAAGAGGTGAAGTTTGCTCGAATCACTAAATCCTTTTGCCAAAGAACACCCAATTCTGAGACCGTTCTTCAAGCAAACCAAACCTCTAATTTACTAGTCTTTACTAGGAGACAGGACAAACCTGATGGGGATGATACTTTAATTTTTCATCGCAATGATCTTAACCAGAAGAAACTTGATGGAACAACCAGCAAACGAAAGGGAGGGAAGGAAGGAACCACTGGAAGGATAGAGAATGAATTTACATTCAACACTGCACGGGAAGTGGTCAAGTCTGATAAAACCAAGCCAGAGGACAGAAGAAATAAAACAGAAAAGAGAACAGAAGATTTGAAGATGAAGCTTTGGGAAATATTGGGAACCACTTCTTCTCCCAAGACCAGGCGCTCAGGTTCTAAAACTTCTAACATGGATGAGGAGAGCGTGCTGCCTAGGCAGCGTTTTGATCAGGAGGATGATAAATTGGTTAAGACCAGACAGCAGTCGGATACAATAGAAACCGATTCTGAAAATCTTGATCATACTAATAAGAAGCCTGTAACGCGTTCTCTGGGCCGAAAGAGAGCGTCAGCTAAATTGAAACCCCCAAAAATTGCCCCGTCTCCAAAAGGCAAAAAGCGGCAACGAGAAAAAGATATTTTCTCTTCCAAAGAACAATGGACTGGGAAGCAACACGTTGATCAGCATGGGGTTTCCCGAATTCCATCGAGGGAAAGGGATCAAAGACAGAATTCACATCAACATTGCGTCAAAGAAAATGAGGCAGAAGATAAAGTTTGTAAAGAAACTTCAAAGGCAGAAGCACAACTGTGTGATGAGGAAGCGTCTTCGCTTGGGGAAAAAATGGGAGGATTTCGTAGTTTATTACCCGATCATCACAAAGATTATCCTCAGACTCGGAAAATAATCCCAGAAGAAGAATTGTACCAGTCACCAATAACAAAGGTAACAGATAAACTCGAAGGACTCGAAGGATCAGCAAATGGAAATCAACAGGAGCAAAATAGTCCAGTGGCCGAGAATGTTGCGGATCCTCTGGATAATTTTCCAAGTCCTACTTTTGGACTCAAGACACCTACATTAAGTTCTTCGCCAGGCTCAACTCCAAAAACGAGCAAACAGGCAAATGGTGTTAATTGCTCAACATTAATGGAGAGGACATTTTCTCTGGGAATTATTCGTAATTTAAGGACTTTCCAAACTATGGAGCGAGACTGTGACAGACAAAGCGGACAGAAGCAATGTGCTGTATCCTTATTACTCAGAGTGTTTCATTTTGATACTGTTATATTCCCTGAACATGAAGCTGTTATATTGTATCTCTTTGAGGTTCCTTATTTAACTTCAGAACTTGGATGAGCTCAAGACTTCTCTTTCCAAAGAAGCGGCATTTTTTGTGAAAGAGAAAGGTGCACAGGATGGCTTATCTGATTCATCATTCGAAGAGAGAATGTTTCTCAAGAAGAGAGAGGATATATATATACACGATGGTTCGTTCGACTTGAGCTGCATTATTTGTATCATGAGATTATATGTTTCTTTTACTCCGTCGGTTCTTTCAAGTCAGAGAACTAGGTATCTAATTATGTCATTTTAGGTTTGACAGACAGACATATTTCTGACGCCCGGGAAACTTCTATGCTTCATCCAATTAAAAGGCTGCGCAGTCATGAAGGAGTTAAATTCAACCGGAATAGTCCTCCTTCACTCTCTTCAAAAGGCATAATATCACTTTATCCATGTTATTTTTGCTTATATCTAATGTTACTCTGATATCTGCAATCTTTATCAAGCCACTTATTCTCGTTCCATAGAAATGGGAGGGGCAGCAGAAAGTGATTCCATCCCTGAAGCTTCTGAGCAGACTCAAGATGGATTTGCAAGGTGTTTCCTCTTTTTCTCCTCTAAGAATAGATTGATGAAGCATCCGAAATAGAAAATGCTACTCATTGGAACAACTCTGAATTGATATGATTCTTGACAATTTTTTAGGGCTGTTGAACTGTTTGCCTTGGAATTAGGGAAGCTAAAGAGTAAATTAAAGTCAGTGGCAAGTAAGAAATCCTCAGAAATTTTAATATCTGTTGCCGAAGACATACAGTTGCAGCTGAAGAATGTCCATTCCCAGATTGAAGAAGACATGTAAGTATGCAAGAGCATGGAGTTTCGAGCTCTGAGACATCAATTCTTTTACTGTACCTTTTATTCTCTAAATGTTTCAGCGAGGAACATGCAAATCTTTGTGAGTCAAAGAGAAAGCGGTTGGAGACAAGATTTGAAGGTATAAAAAATTCTACCTGGATGTTTATTGATAATCATGTTTATATATTCAACTATCTAACTTCTGGATATGACATGTCGCTTTCTAGTTTGTAAACCGGAGTTCAAAGATCTAGCAGTAATGTTAACATATCACTTCATAGATCATTTTGGTCATAACATTCTTCCTCTTGGGTGTTCTAATATCCTCTGATTGCATGTAAAAGGTCAGCGCAAAAAGGAAATCGTAGTTGCAATCTGCCAGAGATTTCAATCAGTTGATAGCGTCCAAACTGTTTAAGAGACATTCAAATAAATCTGTTTCGATATGAAATACTCCTCCGATTCTTATTATAAGACCCCATTTGACTTTTTATTTGGTCCTAATTATAAGACCCCAATCCATTTTGTCTCTTATATTTATGCATTTTTTTCCAAGATAATCCTTCTAATAATGATAGTTTTAGCCAATATACTTAATTAGCAAGGATATTTTAGGAATGACAACACTTATTTATTATAAATAACCAACTTAACTTACTTCCTTAATCTCCTCAAATAAGTCAATTGGGTCTTATAATTAGGACCGGAGAAGTACTTAGTTTCAACAGAACATGCATGGTAAATTGATGCAACACACACTTGCACAGATGCTAACAGATTGGAAAATAGGAAGAAAGATAGAAACGGAGGAGGGGAAAAGAGAGAGACGAACAGAATGGTGGAGGAAGACAGAGCTTAGAACTTGGAGGGGGGAAAGTAAACTGAATTCTCATAGGCAGCAATTTATCATTTATGCAAAAAAAAAAAATGCAATTTATCATTTATACTGCCCTGCTGAGCATGTTGCGTGTCCCACATAGGGTCTAAACCACTGCATTTCATATGTAACGTTTTCCCTTATTTTCCTTTATAGCGCATGAATTAGGGAGATCTGTATTTCCCATTTTTTGAAGCTTTGGTCGTCAAGTTGTTTTCTTCTTCCCTCCCCCTTTGGTCTGTCTGGCTTTTATTATTTTTTCCTCATTTCCTCCACCGCTAAAAATGTAGATCAACAGAAACAGCTGAGGCTGATTCACGAAAAATTCAAAGAAGAGATTAATCTGTATGTTCAGGACTGCAGAAGCGCTATTGAAGGTTTGGAAGCAGAACGATTAGAGATCAAGGGAGCCCTGGAAAAACAAAGTAAGGGAAACTTCTTTGTCTTTTGGATATGTATCTCTGATATGTGTTTCGTCGACTTTTTTTTTTTTACTAAATTTCGAGAGGGTCTATTTTGATGCATTTATTACCAAGTAGTTGGGAGGAAGACCTGAATAATTGGTAGAAATTTAAATTCGTTGGTTTTATGATTTTGGCTTAAGGTGGGTGGGATCGGTCGACCATTGCGTAGTAGTTCACAGGCAATATGCCCTTGCTATTATGTGGTTTGGGCTTTAAGACAGAAATATATATATATATATGCTATCTTTGGGAATATATTCCAGAGTCTTGACGTAAAAAGACACACGGAAAAAGTCGTACTGCTTATGACTTGTAAATTTACAGCTTTATATTTTATTACTTTTTACTGAATCACTTGGAAGTTGGAACTTCAATAATTTTATCAGTAGCCGCTTCGTAGTACGAAGGACGTGTAGGATAGAGTTCTCAGGTTATTGAGCGAAACAAGGGAAACATTAGCACTCCATTGGCATTGTGCAAAAGTACATTTGAGAGGATGTGGTCATCTTTTGACGAAATGTTGTACAACAGGGGCATCACATAGGAAGCTTCTGTCGCAAGTTGAAAAAGGAGTGGAGATCCAACTGAATGATGCTCAAAGGAAAGTCACAGCCATCCAGGAGGCAAGTTTTCTAACTTGCATGTTTTATTTGCAAGATTTTCATTGCATTGCCATACTCTTCATCCGAATGAGTTCGTGGTCAATCTTTAATTATTTGCTTGATTCTGCGATCATAACTGTAATAGTACACTCTAACATACTGTTGCGGGTCCAAAAGGCTAATGGCACGGAGGCGTGCCGTTGGTGATTAAGAATATCCCCATCATTATCACACACACACAAGGAAAAAAGAAAGGTCCCGTCATCAAACACAGACTTTGCCGAGAGATGATAAATAAACTTCACACTCTAGCTTTTCCCATGATGTCTCGGCACCACTAATAATTATGTAGAATTAAGCACCTTTTTAATTCCCGTCTAGTTTTAACAAGTACTCTTCTGATCCTAAAGAGGATAAAAAGAAAAGATATTTTTTTGTCCTATTTATAAGCATTAAGAGAAATTTTTTGTATGAATGTACAATTTTACTCCTCATTTATTATTGTGTTGATTTTGTTTACATGAAATATAATATATATTAAATAGAAATAAAGTTGAAAAATTATTAAATTTTAAATAAGAGTTAATGAAGTTTAAGGTTTTTCCTAATCTGTAAAACATGCTGGAAATGCTTTATAAATAAGACTAGAGAAATAAAATTTCCCTCAAATAACGTGCTAGTTTCTAGCATTCTGACTTAAGCTGTCCAGTGCTATTCTTTTCCTTTTTTTTTTCAATTATATTTATTAAGCTGTCCAGTGGTATCAATTTCCTTTATATAACATATATATATATATATATATATATGTATGTATGAAAGAGCTGTACGCATTTCGAGAAGCATGCTAAACAGATTAGATTTTTTTATTAAATTTAAAAATGTCCTCACACATCGATATAATGTATTTTTAGGAGAAGAAAATTTGTGAAATTTGAATCGAAGTGTTAAATATAAGAATTACTCCCTCCATTCCTTATTATAAGAAATATTTGATGCTTATGGCATGTTCCTATGTATAAGAGACACTTAAAAGTTGTCTCTACTTTTTTGTGTTGATTTCCTATTTTACCCATATTTATTGTCTCCAACTAACTCTCTCTCCTTCCCACTTCTCTTTCTTTTAATAATTTATCATTGTTCTCTCTCCTTATTAATGAGGGTATTTTTGGAAAAAAATTATACTTTTTACACATTGATTGTTCTTAACTAATTTTAACTGTTTTTTTTATCAATATAATTCGGTTATTCGTCTCTTATAATAAAGAACGGAGGGAGTATTTTTTTTATTACCGGGTGAATTCTTGGAGAACTTTGCTGAGATCTAGAGTGGGGGATTATTTAGGAGTGGTGAGACAATTGAGATGGCTACAGTATCATTAAATGTCGAAGAGAGTTGGATGATTATTGGGGTGTTTGGAGGCACCCAAAAATCCCTCTTAGAAATACTTTTCCGCAAAACAAGATAAACTCCTCCACATATTTACTTCATACACTGTAAAAAATACTTTTAAAACTATAGTTTTGATTCCATCCAAATATCTTCTATGACAGCTTAGCTTTTATATCAATAAATCATCTTAAATTCTTAACCCATATCATACTTTGTTTTTTGTTGGGCCGATCTCATACACCAATTTTCAAATCACTCCAAATTGAGTGGTTTGAAATGATTTGAATTTTTTTTTTTTCCCAAATAGCTTAAGCTATCTATATTCTGAATATGATTAAATGCGCAAGGAAAATAAAAATATTTTACATTTGAAGAGCCAGCAGCCCTCGAGACCTGTGTTGCAATATCAAATCATCAAATTAATTTGTGAAGACTGGACATCATCTATTCATCTATTGAATTTCCAATGAATAGAGTCATTTGTTTTCCCCACAGCATTCCACACACAACGAATTAGCTGTCTCATCTGATCATCTTCTTAATCCCCTCCCCCCGGATGGGCTTTCGGCGATGACATGTTGAAGAGGTTGTCATTGATGCAGCTTGTATTAATGATTTTATTGTCCCTGTTTAACTGCAGTCGGCAAGGGGAAAATTGCTCCAACTGAAGCACATTACAGCGATGTGCTTGAAAAATGATATTCTAAAGTGACGTGAACACCGAGGCACAACAAGGAAAGGAGAAAGAAACAAGGCGTGATTACTGTCCGCATGCTTTGCAAGTTAGCAACACTCTCCGGAAGCAAGTGGAGGCCTTTAGATGTCATTAGATTTTTAGGACCAGTGTTGTTAGATTCAACATACGCCTAGGGTTTTATTGTTCGATTTTCTATATTGAATTTAAATCTCTTGACTTACCTGAAATGTTCAATGATTTCGATATCTCGTGAACATAATCTTTTTTTTTTCTTTTTACTTTCTTTTTTACAATATTTTTTTATATTCGTTAATTATTTTTCCTGAGTCACTATATCCTATTCAGTACAATTCTCAATCAGGCGAGTCATTTTCTTGTTTTCACGTACCATGTGATTGATTATTCAAGTAGACAATACACACCAACTGAGTGGTCACAACATCGCAAGAATTTACCGGTGAAAAGAGATCAGGGAAGGACCTCTTGAGTAAAGAAATCAGGCAGGGCATTGTTTATGATGGGATCATTATAAAGCACATGGGGGCATTATCTTCTGTCAAAAAAAAGGGTGAATGGGGACAATGTCACAAGGTTCATTAAGGAGACTTGCATGAGGCTCTGAGAGTATCAGAGAAATAAATGAAGCTTTTAACTAATCATGAAAATGACAAGCTAGAGCTTATCTCACGGTTTGGTACATTCTAATCATGCAAGCATGCGCTACGAGAGTGAATTGTGAGCATATGTCTTCTTGGAAAACTAATTATAGTTTTCGTCAATGTTAAATTAGGTCCTTGAGTTTTTTTTTTTTAATTGGGTCCTTAAACTTTTCCTTATTAAATGCCGGGATCCATCCCGTTAATTAGTTATTAGCGTTGAACACCGTTGAGAATTTCGGTTATGAATTAGCAATACATGTCTGAAACGTCTCTCTTCCCATCCAGCGTGGAGCTTCTTAGCGCTTGAGCCTCCCTTGCCCAGACAACACACAGCCGATCATCCTCAAGGGAACAACACCCCACCCTCTTCGGTTCACATGACTGCAGCTCGACCCTTCTGCTCACAGTGGAACCAAAGGCAAAATGTTCGATTCACGTTTTCCTTCTATGGGTTCCCTTTTTTTTAAAATTTGGGCCTAAATTGTTCGGATCAAATTTGATCAGCCCAAAAGGAGAATGAAAGACAAGCACCTCGGGTGGCCCCTGAACGAGTGGTTACGGTCCATAAAGAATCAGAGTCGTTGCCTCTGAACATCCAAAAACCTTTAAACCCATCAGCAGATCACAATTTCTTCCTTCTCGCTATTGTCCACAAATTTGCGTATTTCGAACATTTAGAAAATCAGTGATTTTCTTATGGAAGCCATACACCTGGACCTCCACGATTTTGGATTCACAGGACCCACCGTGCATTGTCGTGTTGGGCTCTCTTGGTTGAACAAATCAGAGTCCTGTCAGAAAGGTGCAAGAGAAAAGCTTAAGCGCTTCCAACTCTTGTTCAATCCAATAATCATGTTGTATTGCATTCTTTAAGTATGGTAAACATTACCGGCACTGACTTGCTGTTGAAATCAACACTTGGAGAATGAATGCCAAACAATGTTTCTCCACATTGGCTACAAGTATAAATCACCCAAAAAAAAAAAAGAGACAAAAATATTAGGATGGTCACATATGGCAGAAACCCAATTACGTAACTTTCAAAATGGGGGGGCCAATAATAGCAGCATCGTAGAATTAGCGTTTAATATTGGATGTGTTGGGAGGGAAAGAGACCTCGTGAGGTAAACTCATCATTCTTGAGCTCATCATTAAAAGCCCAATTCCTTTCAAATTTAGGCAATCTGTTGTTTGCAGGCACGTGATTCGTGAACAAATATCCTTCCATCCTGGCCTTTACCGCGACTCGTTGGCAACCCACAAAAAAAAAAAAAAGGTTACCGCCACTCATCACCAAAACACATCGTTTTGCTATCATTTCTGTTTCCCGGTTGTTTGTGGAGCCCACTTGCCCTCGCCACTCCCGAGTCACGAGTCGATCACTTTTTCCAATTATTCTGCTTCCCTTCTCTTGTTGATTGTTCAGTTTCGGTGATTCATTCCTCTTTTATATATACATATATATATATATATTTTTTATCCTTTCATATTCTAACTTTACTCTATTTCTTTTAAATTGATTATTTGACATTTCTTTCTAAAAACTGTATTGATGTTTTTCGATACATACTTCATATTCTAAGAGAAAACAAATTTTTCTCTAATTTTCAACTGACAGGGGCTGAAATTACAATTTAACCGCACGATATAGAAGATTTGTCTCTACATAAGGACGAAAACTTTCAGTTTTGAGTAGAGGTCCATATTTAAATCCTCTTTTTTCTATACAAAACAGTTTAGGTAGATTGGGTTCAAGTAAACCTTTTCATATAACATAGATAGGGAAAGCTTCATATGCATCCAATTTATATATACATTTCTTCTTTTTTTTCCGACATATATATTCATTTCTTAATCATAATATACTTGGCATGTATATAATCATCTAATTTAAAAATAATATTCCTTGAAGTACCATTTATAAGATCTCTCTTTCATCGTGTAGTGCATTGATCCAGTCCTCCATCCCTGTGTTTAAAGGATTGGATAGAGAGTAATTAATATGTCTTTATAGTAAACACTAGATTGAGTATTTAATTATAAATTTACATAACAGCTATGCTTAATAATAGTTTGATAAAATATATAATTTTTAAATTAACAAAAATATAATAGTAACAATATAATTATTTATAATAATATTAGCTTCCTGTAGGGGGGGGGGGAATGGATGCTTTGTAGCTATCGCTATTTTGTAGAAAGAAATATGGACGTCTTGCAGAATCGTAAATGTCCAGTTCAGGTAACAGAATATATAGATTGAGTATTATTGATCTCCACGAAACCGGATCATATCTCACGATCACATCAATGACTTTGATCTGTTGACGAAACTCCCAGAAACACTATAAAGTGTCTCCTTTCAGCTTCAGTATATATATCCCTTATGTATGAATCGGGAAATTTCAACGTCCAATTATGCTGCGTCCTTTGTCTGCCCCTTGCGTGAATCCACAGTGATGAGGGATAATTAAATTAAAATCTAACATAAATCAAGAAGATTTATCATTGATTTTAAATTATCTTAATTAGGATTCATATTATAGTTTAAATCAATAATTTGGATTAGATTTAGATTTGTGAGATTATATTTTTTAATGGAGATTATTAATTACCTGTTTAGCGACGTTTCTTATTTTTGTAATTTTTTTGGCTCGATGTTTAAGTTAAATTTAGGTAATTGTTAATTTATTATTCTTGTGGAATTCTTTTTGACGAATTAAATTAGATAATTACCATTAAGTTTTCCGACATCCCTCGACTTCCTCTCCCTTTATTTTGTCCAAAATTCATTCCCTCCTTCTTCTTTTTTTTTTTTTGGCCTCGCCCCTCTCGTTTTACACCATTGAAGCAATCACACTTCATATGGAATGAACAAAGTAAACACCTTTTCATATTTTTTTGGAAATAAAGAACAGACCTTATGAACTAAATGTTTAAACTATGGTTTCTTCCCAAGTAGTTAATTCTAATTTGAGCGTGAAAAAACAGATCGATTTACCAAAGAATCTGAGAACATGCTGGAATGGCCCATGGGGGGGTGTGAATCATGAGGTGACGAGGCTCTGGATAATTCGATTCGTTCAGGTTAATGTCAGTGATGCAATATGGCGTGATTTGAGTTTGACTATGTTTCATAATTCATTCATGAATAACAGTAAACAAGAGGGAATGCATTTTCACTCAAAAGTTATAGGACGAGGGAGAGAGGTTCCACATTGTTACTTCACAAAATTAATTAAAACCCATTCATATAATCAGCAACTGGTGATTTAACTTTAATATTCTTTGATGTGAATAAAGTTGCCCATCCCCCCCCTCTCCCTCCCTGCTTTTAATTTGTTCCTTGCAATTAAAGTCAATTCGCAATAATTACTGTTTATTCTTCTTCGCCTGCCCATCTCCCTCAGCAAATTAAAGGTGCAATAAGCCCTTTTTCTCCTCAAAATGTCAAGCATTCTCCCTCCACTTCTAACACCCAGCATTATTCATTGTACTGGACGAACCACATTAATCAGATGAATTGAGGATTATCATTAGTAATAATGAACTGTGTGGTGATGACGACAAGCTCTGGTCAGGACTAAGTGAGGGTGGAGATTAGTGAGGATGATTAATTGGTGGAATGATGTGTGTGCATGTGGCCATGTTGGCTTGAAGCTTTAAACTTGGTGCTGGACTGAATAGACCCGTCTTGACTGAGAGAAATAGGGCTGCCTAGATTAGTACAAAAGGGGAACGTGGCGTGCCTCACGAATGAATTAGCAAGGCATTAAAGAGAGGGGGCGATGTAATGTGTCCAGTAATTAAGCCAAAAACATAAAGAAGAAAAAATAATAATTAATGAGAGCTTAGCACAATGTCTAATCCCATTATCCCGGCCCCAAGAGGTTGATCTTTCTTGTCAATTGGTTGTCATCCTTTCTCAATCTCTTCCACTTTGATCATTTTTCAAATCCAAACTAAACCCTCCATTTAATTCGCTATCGAATTTATTAAAATGCGTTGGCAAAAAAAATATTAAAATGAACAATGCTGTGTTATAATACTTACCAAAATAAAATTACAAATTTTCAAATTTCTATTGTTAATACTGTAGTTTTCATTTACTAAAAATATTAACTATTATCGTACGTTTCTTTTAAACCCTCTTCGTCATACGTATCGACATCGTTATCTTTCGTCAATTGCTTTTGCTAATAATCTGTCCCATCGTCACTGGTATGAGCACGGGGATGTTCTGCTTTTCCTCTGTGTTTTTTTTCAATTGCTAATCACATCATTGACAATAATAAATTCAACAAAGCACTGATAAGTAATAACTCGTCACCTTAACCCAAACTACAAGTTAAATTATTGCTCCCAACTATATGTGGGACTTAATTAGCAGTTCCAATTAATATAGAATAAACTTGGCATTTCTAGTGAATATGAACTGGCATCTAGCTAGTATATGGGATCATCGGTGGACCCAGAACTTATATATACATTTTATGGGCTATTTCTCTCGAATTTTCGGATTAATTGGATTCATTTTAGGCGTAAATATATACTTAGAAAAATAGTAGTAGTATTGCTTGAGCTTTGATGTGGACATGAATAAAGAAACGTATTTTATTTTGCCAGTAGTTTTTTATTATTGGATCTCATCATC